TAGCACCCATTAGTAGAATGGATTATTACATTTTTGGAAAACCTGTTTGGAGTGGTCAGTAGGAAACGAATTGCTGAACTTATGCATTGCCTTAATCATTAATCTATACCACCATACTGGTATCTTTATTAACCAAAAAATCATTCAGATTAACTTAAAAAAAAAGTCTTCTTTCTTCTTGAACTTCCATTTATATTGACTTTCCATTACTGGCCTCGTGTGTGTCTGCACACACAAGAGTGTTAGAACTGACCTCCAAAAGGAAAAACAGATTAGAGACCGATGCTGGCATGTAATGTGGATGAAGGCTAAGCTGGTCAAAGGTTTCTTTTGTTTTAATTAAGGACTGGCTAGTGCCGCTCAGGAGCCCTTACCTCCCAGCAAGTCTAGCAGAGGTGATCAGAAGAAAGCCGGCCCAGTTCAGCTTCTTGTCTGAGAAGGTGGCAGATTACTTAAATGTGAAAGGGAGACTGACAACTTTGCAGAAAATCAGGAGGTTTAAGCAGTAAAGGAGAGGATGAATGTATAAAGATCAAACAAATCAATACGATTTAATCCACATTTGTGTCTTAAAGCAGTAGCTTATCTGAAGAGTCTGTGTAATTTTAAAAGACAGAAAGACAAAGGCAAAGGAACTAGGTAATAAAAGGCTATCTTATTCAAAAATAGCTTTTAAAAAAAGTGTTGATGGACTCTCCCTCCCTTAGAATAGAGATAAATGACGATGATGACTGCTTCTGAGACACTGCATGCCTTGCTGACCTTTCCTTGACAGGTTTAGGGGAACATAAAAGGGGTCGATGTGCTGGTGGCTAATAAGTCTTTTGGACACTGAAACATACACTCAAACATGTCCCAGTTTCAATATTTAATCGTTCATAAAATCATAAAATCATTTGATGAAAGCTGGTATAGCTTGAGCCAACAGCAGCTAGAGTTAATATATTCCAGAATTGCAGCAGCTCCAGCTGCTCCCGATGTTTGAGGATCTTTGTGAGGTTCATTCCCTGTTGGCTGTGGCAGCCGTGCCAGGAAACATTGCTGAGGATGCATGTGTGGCTTAACTTCTATGTCATCCAGCAGTAACACAAACCTAATCCCACAAGTACAGATAATTTCCAGTAATCATTGTTTCTATGTTTCCATGGTTACTGGAAAGATAAAAATTTCTATTTTTGCTTCAATCAGCTATACAAAAATGGAATGTTTTCCAAAATCTGTGTGAGGTTAGAGCTAAATTGTGAGCAGACAATATACCTATTTTACCTTCATGTGTGTCATCTCTTTACTCTCTTTTGACCCTTTCCATTGCTTCTGACCTGCACAAATCCCACCAGCTCCACAGGAAAGCTGCTCCTCAGAAATAATCCCAAAGGGGGCAGAGATCAAACTCTTTCCTACGGAGTTCTGGAGAGACTTCAGGCATTGTTCATTCAGAAAGAAAAAAAAAAAGAAAAGAAAAAAGAATATTGATTCCAAGGTCTGAAGAGTTTTTTATTTATATAAACACAGCTAGAACAGACATGGCAGAAGTCAACAGTAACCTCCTGCTCCATTTTCACAGCAAGTCTGCCTACGAGGGCCAGTATAACTATTTCTTGAACCTATCAACTATGGGTAGGCTTAGTGTGCAGTATTTAATGAAACCTCCATGGAAATGTGTGTTGCTGCACATAGGACGGCACAGTGACAGGTCCTTAGTTAGCAAACGGTCTGCACTAACAGGTTCGTGAAATTCATGCAGGGCCGTCCAAAGGTACAAGCTCAGGTCCACGTGAGCTATATGGCTATTTTAGGTCGCTCCACCTAGACAGTTAGCCCTGTTGCTCTAAAGAGTGTTACCAAGACACAGTGTAATACTGATCTGACTAGACTTCAAAGGCATCTAGATCATTTGGGTATATTTTAATGCCTTGTAAAAGGCACATGAAGGATTAAACACAGATAGCGCAAATGTTTTCATGGCTCCAACTTTACATGACAAAAATCTCCACCATCTCTTCAAAGAAGTGAACCAGGCATTGGGAAGACCTTTCCTAGGGACATCTCTGCTCCATCTTCTGTGATCTGTTGGAAAAACATACTTTACTCAAACTAACCACTCACTGCATTGCTCTTGCTACTATTTATACCACAGTAACACGTAAGTGTCTTAGACAAATAAGACTATAAAGATTGGAAAGGAACTGCTTGAAGAATTTGCAATACGAAAGAGATGCAAAGGTAGAAAGGAAAATTAAAATGCTAAGACATGAAGTCACTTGCCCAAGTTCCCAGAAGTCAGATATCCTGCTGCTTGTCTATTCTATTAGGACTTTGGCCTTTCTAGTTTGTTGCTGTCAGATGTTTTACTTGCTTCATGAGATTCACATAGACACAGGCATGACACGAAACATCCTAGGAACAGGGGCAGGCATATTTTACCCTGGCCTGTATTCCATCTGGAGAAACAAAGTTTTTGAAATCAGAAAGCAGTTTTGCTAGTATCAGACACCCGTTGCCTCCTGCTATGAAAATGCCTTCAGGGTGACCATAATGAGAAGTGGAAATACTTCACTTCTTCCTCAACTGCCTTCCTGAGTTCACTGATCTCAGTCTGGGTTCAGACATTGTGAGTCCAGAAAAGAGACTTCAACAGTGCTTCCTATCACAGCAAGTAACATGCAAGGAAGTTACAAAGCTGCTCTTCTAACCTCCTGAATGTTGACATCCTATTGTTTCTTTGCAAATGATATTTTGCAAAAAAGGAAGTAGTTAAATACCTTTTCACAGTAAATGCAAGTACTGCCAGAGTTTATGCGATATCAACTTCAGCATTTATACCAAGCTGTGTTTTTCCTTCAGCTGTATCAAGTGTCACTGAGAAGCAATGCTGGAAGTTCAAAAGACAAGCAGTGAAAAATATTCCTCTAACATGTTCCTGTCACGTACTCTGTAAGTGCATTATTTTTTTCTTGAATGATGAAACAGGGAGACCTGTAAAACAACTATCTATTTGTAATGGGATTCTTCACGTAGCATCCTGATATACAGTCTCATCTGGGATGTGAAAGCACCCAGCCAGTGTCAGTGTGATAAATACTATTTTTAGGGAGAAGATGAGGGGAAACATTAGCCCGGTGAGAGAGTAAGTGAACAGCAGAACGTGACAAGTGCTTTGCTGTGTCTTGGTCTGTGTGCAGCCAGACTGGGGTGTTTTGCCGATCAAAGTCAATCTGTGCACACACAGGGAATGGGCAAAGGCAGGCGGTGGGTGAAACGCTGCCCTCCCTCCAAGTCTTGTGCAGCATAACCCTGGTCCTGCACCTGGGCAGCTTTGGAGAAAGCTGCAGACATGCAAAACCCTGGGCTGGGGCTGCCGGGCAATTTGCTACCAAAAGCACATGGGAAGTCACCACTAACGGACCTGCTACTGCTGTAAATTAAAGTTGGTCAGCATTAGGGTAAGAGAGGTAAGAGAGGAAATCTGGGGCTTTCTGCAAGCGGGATGACCTGGTCACAGAGTGACAAGACATGTCTCCTAACAGCGAGTGCCTGGCACCAGGGAAGGTGGCATCACCCCATGCCTCTGCCCCAGTCTGGCGGTGGGGCAAGGAGGTAGAGCAAGGCCACGCTCTGTGTCTTCTATCCCATCACTTTATGGGGCACAGACAGAAAAGTATCTTTTGCCTGTGCATTTCATCTGTGAAGCCTCCATCTGGTTCCATCTGGTTGCTGGTGTCAGCATACTTCAGCGTGGGTGAGACGCAGCAAGCTTCCTCTGGCATGGGGACCTCAGTGCAGCGGGAGCAGCTTTTGTCCCAGCCTGGCTGGTGATGGCTATTTTGGTCTGGAGACCAGGAAAGGATTTTGGATGGTGCCAAAGACGGCATGGCAGAAGGCAACTGTGCAAAAACACAGAGGGTGGGCTGGAGGTGAGGGACACTGAGATGCATGCCAGTGTTTAGTGAGGCTGAGCCATTGGGGTGAATGGTGCTTTCTTGGTCCTATAAAGGGCCGCTGGGTACAAAGACAGATGTAAGGAATGTGGCCCAGGGGCATCCACTGTTCTTCAGCTTATCTTCCTCACTCCTTACCGCCCTTCCCATGGAACAAAGTGTAGAGGTGCAGGGGTGGGAGACAGGAGGGACGGGAAGTGCTGCTGCTTGTGTGCCGGTGTTAGTTGAGGCCAAGGCTGTGCAGATAGGTGAGTCACACCAGATGGCTGCCACAAGAGCCCTTCGATGAGATTGAGGTTGTGCCCTGGGGTGGCAGCCCAACCCCCCTGCCCATGCCCCCAGAGAGCACGCAGGGGCACGGGCAGAGCAGCACTGGGGCAAACCACCACAGCAGCCCGCCCCAGGACAGAGTGCTCGGCTCGTGTGGCTTGGGTCACACCAGGATCAGAGTGATTCATTCAGTTAACAGCAGCTAACTAACCAGCAATCCGTGGACTTTACGTTCAGGTTCAATACCAGCAATACATCAGTTAAACCGCACCACTGGACACTTAATAAATACCAATAAAATCCTAAATACTCTTCTAATCCCAAAACCTTCTGGTCACACACACTGACACACGTGTGCACATGACTGCAGTGTGGGCTACACGTGCACCATATTCCTTGGACCGGCCACTTCTCGAGCCTGCCCTGATCCCTCTGGATGGTAGGATGACCTCCTGCTGTGTCGACCTCTCCCGAGCACCACACCACCCACCAGCTCGCTGAGGGTTTGCTCTGCATGTGGCTGCTTTCCCATGGGCAGGAACATGGCCATCCCCTGGGCCTGCAAAGTGTCCCCTCTCTGCCTAGGCCACTGCTGAGTCTCCTGCTCTTCCTTATCCAGCTACCAGGAGTCAGTTTAACAGAATTACGGGCTCGCCTTATGTGCCTTCCTGACCTTGGGCTTTGGCTAGCTTTGCTCCTCTTGTTTTGGAAATCAGTGATGCATCACTGCAAAAGTAGGCTCCTCCTGTGGAAGCATAGAACTAGTGTGCATGGATCTTGCAGAAAAATCCTTTATGCCACAGATCTGCTGGCAACTGCTCCTCGGTCATTTTCAGAAATGTCTTTATGAAAGATGGCTCCCTCTGAGCTGTTACCTTCATTTTCATGCAGAGTCATCGTGCTTTGCTCCGGTGCGGCTGCTATGATGATGGGCACTCTGCCCACGATGGTGGATGTGGTGCAAGGAAGGTCGGAGGTGCCTACCAGCTCGTACCTGAATGACATGATTTTATTATCCATGAGAGTGCTGGTGACAGGCAGGGGTTTTGGCAGAACCAGCGCACTGGTAACTCTCATGATCTCAGAGGGGGCCGTGTCTGCCCAGGACACCAACTTTGTCACTTCGCTTCGGTCTTCCAAGAAGAGTCGTTCTCCCCTGCTGCTGAAACCACTATATAGGACAATGCAGTATACAGTAAAAACAACCTTTCTAACGTACGTGCATGTTCTGTTGACAATGTCTGTCACAAAAACAATGGTTTCTCCAGGGTAAAATACTCTTTTCTCCAAGGAAATCTGAAGGATCACAGAGCCACAACTGAAGCAGCAGAAATATACTATATCCTTCCTAGCTTCCACCACCAGTGGGGCCTGCATGGAGAGAGTGAATGGAAAGGCAAAGCACAGTGAGTTCTTGTTGCTGGATAGAGGGTGACTCCCAAGCACCACATGCATAAACCCGTAATCATAGAATCATAAGATGGTTAGGGTTGGAAGAGACCTCAAAGATCATCTAGTTCCAACCCCCCTGCCATGGGCAGGGACACCCTCCACTACACCAGGCTGCCCAAAGCCTCATCCAACCTGGCCTTGAACACTTCCAGGAATGGGACACCCACTACGTCTCTGGGCAACCTGTTCCAGTGCTTCACCATCCTCACTGTAAAAAATTTCTTCCTTAGATCTAATCTAAATCTCCCCTCTTTCAGTTTAAAGCCATTGCCCCTTGTCTTATCACTACACACCCTTGTGAAAATCCCCCCTCCAGCTTTCTTGTAGGCCCCCTTTAGGTACTGGAAGGCTGCTAGAAGATCTCCCCAGAGCCTTCTGTTCTCCAGATTGAACAACCCCAACTCTCTCAACCTGTCTTCATAGGAGAGGTGCTCCAGCCCTCGGATCATCTTTTTGGCCCTCATCTGGACCAGCTCCAGCAAGTCCATGTTATTCTTATGTTGGGGACCCCAGAGCCGAACACAGTACACCAGGCAGGGTCAGGCAAGAGCTGAGGCTGCACAACCCTCCCCACAAGCCCCACCGTTAACCCAGAGGACAGTTTTCTTCACTGCACCAAATGTGACATGGCTGAATTTCCACAGTCCTCCCGAGCATCTGTGCAAGGAATTCATGTGTGCACACGTAAGCAGTGTCACCTTTAGCTATCCATACCCAAATTTAGAGGATGGACACAAAATTACGGGAAGCATCATGTTCTAGCTGTCTTGATGACCTTTGACTGATTGTTCCAGTCTAGGTAGAGTTTGGTAAAAAAGGCACCTCCCATTTCATGATGCTTTCCCAAGGCTTAGACTCCAAATTAACTCCCTATTTCCTCATTCTGGATCTCAAAGCACTCCCTACATGTCACTCTTGAAATCTTAACAATACACCTTGTATGCTAGAAAAGAAATATTTTGGTGCAAGCCCTAGGGCAAAGATGGTAGAAGATATTGAACTGTCATTTGAATGCTAAAAGGAGGACTCAAAGAGCTAAAAGTTTGTGGACACTCAGCAGTAAGTGGTTACAGCTCCGGATCAAAACAGGTTAGGTCTATCTGTCTCCAACTCAGATAGTTTGTTCCCCTTACCATGTCTTTGACATGGCTCCTGTGGTCACCAGCAGTTCCTTGCAACAGTAAACATCTCTCCTCTTTAGCTAAGACAATTTGGTGGCTGCAGCAAGTCCCTTGAACAAAGTAGGAGACGCAGCCAATCTTGCTGGTGAATGTGGAGGGAATACTTGGAGGAAAGCTGAAGCAGAAGTCAAAGGTGTGGACCCCAGAATCCAGCCAGCCATCTGAAAGCCAAACAACATGCTGCTATCAGAAGCCTTTTAAACATTTAGGATAATTGTACCTTACGGAAACCTTGATGTTTCTCCCAGAATCCAAAGTGTCCTTACCATCTGGTATTGCACTCAAAGTACCATAAAGGCATGGTATGGCGTGGACTGTGCCTTGTCTCTGCAGGTCAGCTGCTGGTTGTATGGCCCCCTACCAGTTGTCAGATTTGAGAACTGCTGATCTGCCTCATTTTGACACAAGGTCAGCAAATCTGCAGCTCCTTACAAACTGTTTAGGATTTTCACTTATCAAAATGTAGTTCCACAGTCTTTTAATTTTCTGGATAAGCACTAATAGGCTTTTTGAGAGTAAAGCTGTGTAACTCTCACTCCTCTTTTATCATTGTCTACAACGTCTGTGCGTATGATCTGAAACTTTTATTTCACCTGTGCAAAAGACTCTACTCACAAAAAAAAAAAATATTTGATACCTTCTCTGCATAACTGTGAGATGGGAAAATTATGAACTATTCCTTCAAATGTATTTTCTTCTGTGCCACTTCCTCTTAATCAAATTTGATTTTGTGTGGGTGAGGTCTCACTGACTGTAATGAAGGACTGTCCCACTTATGCGAGGACAACTTTGGCCCTTTCTGGCCAGATAAGGCCAGCTCTTGACTCTTTTCTTCAACCAAGATCTGTTTCTTTTAAACACATGCATCTGCTGGCAGTTTCATCATCCAAACTTAAGGTTTTCTTCCTCCTAATAGCTTGTGCCAAAACTTCACTTTGAACAATAGTATTAGGGGATGTGAGACTGCTAGAATTTTGTCCTGCTGACTGCATCCTTTTGCAGATGAATTCAACGATGCCTCAAGTTTTAATAATCTAAACTGGATATTCTTATTGGCAGAAGAGCCTGGATATAGTTTCCTCACAGCATGGAAGATGTACCAGATGGCATAACAGCATTTTCAATCAATCAGAGATGTAACTCTGAAGAAAAAAAATGCCTAAAACAATCTGAAAGAAAGGAAACTAAAATTCATCAACCTCTTAGATAACTGCAATATAAGAAAGTCATGTTCTCTATTCTGACAGTTTGTAGAAACCTGATATTCCCATCACCTTATCTCACTTACACAACATTGTCTCAAAGTTATTTTGGCAAGGTTCCGTGTTTTTAGTAGAAGGAAGGACTTTGAACTGGGAGTGGATCTGCAATTTAACCTTGAAAGAAATCAGTGTTCTCGTCCTGGAACGATCTGCATTTGGGCCCGTGTGAGCGGTCTGTTTTGCGGCCCCAGCACAGAGTGAGGATTTACTGAAAGAGTTCAAATTTCTCAGTCGCTGTTGCAGGAATGACCTGAGAGCCTGGTTCTGCTTGCAGAGCTGAAGTAGGCCAGTCAAGGTGCAAAAGGGCTTGCAGGTACTGATTTCATTGCCCAGTTCCTCTGGCTTGTTTTGCATCACTTCTAAAGAGACTTCTTTGAATTGTGCCTGCTTGCTAAGCTGTGCTTAACTTTCGACACAAGCCTTCTGTCTCAAAAGAGCGGTGGCCTTAAACAATGTCCCTGAATTCACCCTGGAAAAGAGGGTGGACTCACATTCCTTGGATCCCCATGGCTGAGGGGTGTGAGCCCCGTTGCACAAGAGCATCTCCCCTCTATGTGGGTGCCAAAAACGTTATTCCTCTGAAACCATGCAACAGAGTTAATTCCGCTGGAGAAAGTTTCCCAGCAGCTGCAGGGGCGGCAGGGTGCCCCCAAGAGTTAGCTCCTTGGAGGCACCTGGGGTTATCACATTCTTGATGTTCAGCAGAAGCTGGGAACTTCAGTCACATCAGAAAATTTAAGTCAATTCTAGATAATGTGTTGTGTTACCTAATCCAAAAAGTGTTTTATCTTGCACTTCCCATTGTGGGAGAGGATGACTGCAACTGTGGGGAAAGTGGAAAGAGGCTGCTGGTAGGAGTGACTTGAGGGTGATCTTTCTCTGAAGGACACAAGGGATTTCCTGGGGGGTGACTGATGGTGCACAGCAGTGCTTGAAAAGTTTCGGACTGCCTGTAGTGTGTGAGCTCCTGCCTTTGGTTTGCTCTGACTGGGGGAATTCGGCTGGTGATGAGGATGGTTATCTTTGGTAACGCTGAAACTCATCTTTTTCTTTTCTGGATCTAATTATCCTAGAGATGTTACCAGTCTTATTCAATGACTGCCAGGAGTCAGTTCCTCTAGCGCTCTTTATCTCACAGAGAGAAAATACTGAGTATCTCGTGTGAAGGTTAAAAAGAAATATGTCAGCAGGCGCTTGGATCCATGTATATACACTTCTTACAGAGACATCAGATGTGACCGGAGTAGGGCATGTGGTAGATCAAATACCAGATAGTAACATGCTATCAAGAGCATATTAGCAGCTGAGTGTTAAAAGCTGTCGCAGGAAGCAATCTGTTCAAACATACATTCCTTGTACGCCAACAGCAGTGCGGGGCACAGGGTATTCAGGCTAAGAAGGGTCAGGTCTGTATCTTCTTTCATGTTTTAAAATGGCTTTCTTGGACTTGTTAGAGCACTTCTACAGAGATGTAATCAGTGCTGGAAAAGGAGGAAAACGACTGAGTTACAGTAGTAAAAATCTGTTATTAAACTGTACTGCACTGGCAAGTTTTGATGGATGTGGGTGCTCAAGTCTTTTGAAAACAGGAATACATGTGTAGGTGGCAGAATATGGATTCAAGTGTCTTTAGGCAACACCAATTTGCACTTTAGGTGAAAGGATCCAGAACTGAGGAGCTTTTCAGGTACTTATTCTTATAATGGCAAAAATAATTTTTCTAACACTTGGCCTTTCTCCCTCTTTTCTGTCAGGGCTGTAACATCTGGTAGCCCACAGGAAGCATCGGCATGCTGCTGTACATCAAGGCTAAGGCTCTAATGCATGCATAAGGGGAAAATGACCTTTGGGTGAGGTACAACCTTCAAGTCTGGGAGGAAATGAAGCCTGACCACTGCAGATAGCAGCTCAAAAGCACAGTTTCCACACATTGGCACAGCCTAACTTCAGTACTAAACTAATCTAGGGCAGTGACCACCTATGATCTCTAGAATAAATTTTCAGACCCTAAGAAAGAGAAGCTGAGAAAGGGGTGTGCACCTCCTAGGAGGCTTCCATTTGCTTTAAGCATCCCCTGGAATAATTCACTGGTCTGCAAAGAAAACTGTCTTAGGTGATCATTACGTCCTGCTAACTTTACTGATTTTAATAGATCTGTTTATTTGAATAGTCAGCTCTGCATTGATGTGTGTGCATGTTGGGGTGTATGATATCTGAGGGGAAGGTGCAAAGAAGATGGAGCCAGGCTCTTTTCAGTGACAGGACAAGAGTCAACTATAACACAGGAAGTTTCCTCTGAACATCAGGACTATGATGCAGGTCGCCCTGAGAGGTTGTGGAGCCTTCTTCCTTTGAGAAAATGAGAAGCTGTTTGGATACGGTCCTGAGCAACCGGCTCTAGGTGGCCCTGCTTGAGCAGGGGTGTTGGACCAGCTGACCTCCAGAGGTCCCTTCCAATCTCAACCATTATGCGATTCTGTGATTCAGTGAAATAATCACACTTTCGCAGATGTTTTCAGCATATCTCACATTTTTCTTGTCTTGGTGAAGATACAGCAGTAGCTCTAATAATGCCTTTACTATCCTTGCAAATATAGCAAAGCCTGTATACGCAGTGGATACTTGCTGACCCATAAGTCAACAAGAACACTGAAGACAAGCATTTAGATGACCAAAGAATGCTTCAGTGATGCGCTTGCAACTAAAGGTTTCCTGCCTGCTGCTAGACAGGTTGTGATAGATTACTGTGCAACAAGACCTGTGTATCACTTCACAGATACACCCACTGACTAGTGGGGGACTGCTCACACTCTCATAACAGAATGCTGCTGTTCATTGTGAAGCCCTGGTTGCCATGTGACATAGTGAAAAGGAGTATGCCACAGGATAAAAATAGAGCACATAGACATTAGAAAAAGGAAGATTTCCTCCCCACTGGAAAAGATCTTTCCTCACCCTCCCTAGCCCAATGCCAAGATGCTGTTCAGTTAAATGACATCTCATTTCAGTGTTTTACCCTCTATGTAGAAATTCTTTTCTTTGGAGACGTAGAGAGCCTGGTTGGTGAAAGCTGTGCTCTTGTCATAGGTCAGTTCTGGATTATCCTCCTCAAGCCACCTCAGGTAGCCTCTTCCCACGAGCTCCACCTTCACCACAGGGTCCACCAGGGTGCTTCTGAGGTTCAAAACCAGTTGGCCATCTATGCTGGAGCCAGCCAAATGCACCTCAGTCTCAGGCAGCACCAAATTAATTGCTTTCACTGACGACATGAGGAGAGAGCAGGAGCTGGGTGCTGCTGAGGCCTGATGGTTGGATTGCAAAGTCATCCAGTCTCATCCCATAACACCAGGGTTTATGAGGTCACAGCATGGAGGACAGGCATAGTGTGCTCCACAGGGAGAGAGCTTAGTTAGCTCTCCAAGCTATGTCAGAGGGGATAGGAGCCATTTATTTGATTATCAGAAGCACCTAACTAAAGTGGCAAGCGTTCAAGTACATATTTAGGATCAGTATCGACAACACAGTAGATAAACCACAATTCAAGACACTTAGGAAATGTTGCTAAACACTCAGAAATTTCTAAGCGCCCTTCCATGACTGATCCCCAAAACTTCTAAGTGCGTGCACACGCACACACAAACATGTGCACGGATAGGGACACCTCCCCCCTCTGGGATGCTGGCCCTGGCTTCGGTGGCCAGTTTCCCTCTTTCCGCTCTCAGATCTTGTTCCCAGTCACAACTTCTCACATATCCTTGAAACTTCTTTCCAGGCTGACTCTTTCTACATTCTTAAGTCTCCTGGTAATCCCTGTCTACTGTTTAATCCGTCTGATGCTTGTCTCAAGTAAACTGCACCATTCCTACTTTCCTCACAGTTTTGGGCAGTTACCAGTTTTGGGCAATCTCCCTTGCAGAAGGTGCAGTTTTGTGTATTGTGTTCACATTGGCTGTGCACACTTGCTTGGCTACCACATGAGCCATTGTTTTCTGGGCATGCTACCAAGAGGGAGCTGTGCAAACTCCCCCACAGCAAATTACTAGCGGTGGGTGGTAGGTGTGGCTGAAATCGCTAGCATAAGTGGTGTCCAGAAGACTACAGCAAAGACCAGTGAAATCTGGGGACAGCAGGGCAGGCAAGCAGCCACCACCCCAGCCCTCTGGGCAGCGAGGTCTTGCAGGTCTGGCTGAAGCTGGAGGGCTCTTGGTTACCAATGCAGGATGATTGGCAAGATTTTATTGTAACGTAGGAGGCTTTGGTGAACATGGTTAAAGGCAAAGGACTGAGTGAAGCTCAGCCTGAACTCCTTTGTCATATCAGAGCAATTCCAGCTAGCTGGAGCTGCTGCAACTTGATCATAATATTAAGGGGAAAGACATACTCGTTCCAAAAAACACCTCAAAACACTGTAAGGCTGATCTAAGATAGACCTCTGATGCTGTTGGACACTTGGACCGAATGAACGTGTCATGCTCTGACTCACATCGATGTGGGAAAGGAAGAAAAAGGATGCAGCGTGGGAGATCAGAAAGGTATCTTCAGCGAAGGGAGCAAGGATGAAGACAGCTACAGAAAGGGCTGTAGTGAGGATCACGTCTGCAGCTGGTGCCAGCAGACATCTGTGAGCCACTGATGAGTTGTGAGCCCAGAGTGAAAGCGCTGGCAGTTGCTCTGCAGAACCCAATTCCAGAGGCAATGTTCTCAGCTGCAGGTTGAGCATGAGGGCATATACTGAGAAATGCTGAAAATTAACTGATCAAGGAGGCCAACAGTTTAGGAAACAAGTCACAGCAGCACGTTGAACTTGAAGCCTTTCCTCCTCCATATTAATTAGTCTCTTGTTCCAAAGCTGTCAAGATTCTCCCTATTACAGCTTCTATACCCCATCCTTGCTTACAGTGTTTTCAGGTGTTTCTTTTTTAAGAAAAAAAAAAAAAAAGCAGTGAATTAACATGCTGACCGCAAACTCTCACTCAGTCTGGATTCTTGGCTGATGCATCTCGTTCTCTGAGCCTCTACTGGCCTTGCCTTGTTAAAAAATAAACTCTTTGGGAAAGGAACTGTCTGATGCCCTAGGTTGTAGTAGAAAGGAACAGTTTCTCAGCTGGGTACAGAATTACCAATAACAAAAATATCCCTTTTCTTATTTATGCTTGGCAGTTTTCAGCAGTCATCGCCTTGTGCACAAGTTGTGTGGTTATGGGTGGAAAAAATAGCTTATAGCTACTTGCATGAGTGATGATATAATGTCAAGTAAAAAATTATAATTAGTGGTAATATATGAATTGAATACTAGATTCCCACAGTTTGATGCTCAGACACTGATTTATGCTTTACAAAAATAGCTTATAGCTATGACCTCTATGCTTCCATTACACCAAACCAATATTTTATTTCAATCTGTACATCACCTGAGAATTTTAAGTGCAATCTGTGCACGCAATCGGCTAGAAAAGGAGGGAGCATTGCTTTTAAGTCATGGTTTGTGATCCCTCCTTAACTCAAATTTCTGTCTTGAAGCTAGACCAGCTAAAAGTGAATTGTGCAAATGTCATTTCTTTGCATGTTGCGACGTCTCTGACAAAATTGTTTTTAAAATCCATTTCTAGAAGAACAGTACAGTATACTTTTAACAAAAGTAAGCTTCAAAAAGTACAATAGGGAACATTATATTCTGTCTTTGCCTGTGTTGATATGTGGTGTCATTGATTTTGAGCTTCCATTTGGTATCAGCCAAAACAGAACCTTTTGTCTGAATCAGCTATACTTCAGAAGTTACAAATGAAAAGGAAGTGGATCCATACCTCCCTATATCTAATTTTGCAAACCAAAAGCTGACTTCCAAGGCTTCCTCTCAGTTCTTTAAGAAGCTTTAAGCAGTCCCACTATGTTTCACAGTTTTTCCCAGGTATCAGGGAGGACTGTGTCGTCGTTTTCTCCTGGTTTCATTCTCTGAGACTCACTTGAATATTGCCTTAGGTTTGAGCCTCCTGGTTTCAGTTTGAAATTTTAAACCAGAAATCTCAAGCGGAAATGAAGGGATGAGAGTGAGTTTATAATGTTGCACTGTGATAGAACACGTCAGGGTAGGGTGTTTAAATGAGGCCCCAGATTAACCAAACTCAGCCCAGGGGGGACTGTTGTCACTCTGCATCTGCATGCAGACTGACTTCCCAGAGACCTTGAGATCTGAAGGAACTGGATGTGGCAAAGCAGAGGGAAGGCCCAGTTCGAGATCTTGGGTTCATCACAGAACTTGGATTGGTCTGAACTTTTAAGAGGATTTAATATAAAAGCGTTGCACAGATCTCATTTGTATTCTGCTGCTTTCCACCAGCGTATGGAGGGCCTGCATTCGCACACAAATTCCCTTTGTGAGTTCAGCCGCCTCTGTAGCTCTCCTGATGGTGACATGTGGAAAATGGAGCACCTGCATTTGAATTTTAAATTTCTTGTATTACAGGGGATTTAGGCTGTACTGATAGTGCTTTAGATGCACTAAATGCTAGCACTAGCTTTCTTGAAGCCAACTTCACAACCAGCTTGTAGGCAGTGACACAGCTATGATGAAACTGTCGTGGAGGACTCTGTACTCTTGGCCCATGTTAATAGAGAGGTTTTACAAGAAAGCATGAATCAGGCAAATGAATGGAGTTTCCTTTTGCCAAGCAGTGTCTCTCTATGGAAAAAAATAATGTGTAATAAGCACTGTGAATGGGATGGCCAACCAGAGCTCAACGGGTAATTCTTAT